AAATTGACCTCTTTAGTTAAATTATTTATGCAAAACAACCACATTATGGCGGTATTCCTACATAACTTGAGTCACTAACAAAGTTAGAGTCCTTTGATTTGTCACAAATAGATATTTATAGGAAATTACATGAACATGTTTTTCTTGAACCTGAGCAACAACAAGTTTGGCCATAAAATTCCAAAGGAGATAGGGAGGATAACTCACCTAAGTGTACTTGATTTAAGCCATAACCTTCTAGATGGAGAATTACCCTCTCAGTTAGCCAGTTTGTTGGACTTGGAAAAGTTGAATCTTTCTCACAATGGCCTCTCTGGCCGCATTCCTGAAGAATTTGAAATTATGAAAGGTTTGCGGGATGTTGTCTTGTCATACAATGAGTTGGAATGTCCAATACCAAATAATAAAGCTTTTATGAATGCTTCATTTGAAGGTAATAAAGGTCTTTGCGGCAATGTAACAGGATTTCAGCCTTGCGAAAGGCCATCTTCGATGGTGAAGAAGAACTCAAGAAGTAAACTCATCCTCGCCATTGTACTTCCTGTTATGGGAGCACTAGTACTTCTCTGTGCTTTTACTAGTGTTCGTATGTGTGATAAAAGAAGGAAAGTTAAAGATGTTGAAAGACGGGATGATGGTTTGTTTTCGATATCCTTGTTAGATGGAAAGGCATTGTACAGGGATATCTTAAACGCCGCAGAGGAGTTTGATGCAACGTTTTTTGTCGGGCAAGGAGGGCAGGGAAGCGTTTACAAGGTAAACCTTCCATCATTAGGGAGTATAGCTGTGAAGAGATTTCATTCTTCATTTGCGAATACGCATTGCAAAAGCTTCACGAATGAGGTAAATGCATTGATAGGGATTAAGCATCGGAACGTTGTGAAACTCTATGGCTTTTGTTCGAATGCACAACACCCGTTCTTGGTTTACGAGTATGTGGAGAGAGGGAGTCTGTTTAGTATCTTGAGCAATGAAGTTGAGTCCAAGAATTTGGATTGGCTTAAAAGGGTGAATATCATCAAAGCTGTTGCTTTTGCTTGATCTTACCTGCACCAGGACTGTTCACCACCGATTGTTTATCGAGACATATCAAGCAGTAATATTTTGCTCGACTCTGAGTATGAAGCTCGTGTTTCCGATTTTGGAATAGCTAAGTGATCACGCCCAACTCTAGTCCTAAAAAGGATAAGCGGTCGCTGCAAATATAATCCGGTCTAAAACACCAGAGTCGAATTCCACAAAGAACTAAGACTTAGCTATATCTGTTTAATATCACTAAGAAGACAAGTTTGAACAATTTCCTAAATTATAAAGATTGAGATTTATATTTCGAACTAATTAACTAGCAAATACTACAAAGCGATAAAATTATCAACTAACGAGACAAATGGTTGGAGACTAAATTAAGGAGGTCTAGAGTTATGATTTCCCCAATTGTCGGAATCCTTATAGGTATGTTCCCTACAATTTCGCCAATGTATTCTCTACTGATCGTGAGCACTTTAGGTGTCGTAATTCTCTCTCGAGCAACTACAACAATTTACTAGACATATTCTCTCGAACTACGCTAGTTGGCTTTATCTAACCGCTCATTATGACCACGTCAAGGCTTTGTTATTTCTAAACCTACCTTTAAACCCAATGTATTGATTTCTCACATACTTTAGGAGTGACGTTGTTCAACAACTACCTAAATATGTACTCTCTCTCGAGCAGTACACACTAAATAGGCACAGTCAATTAATGGTCATTCAATCAACAACAACAAACACATAGTTGAACAAGTAGAGAAATCCAACGGCTCAATTATATAAAAACATAACAAGAATTTATCCTACAAAAGGTTCCATCAAAACCTTAGAAAACGAATTAGCTATTCATAATAATATGCAGAAATACAATACTAGAATTCATAACCAATGATGGAAATAGGAAGAAGGAAGTGAAAAACTCGTAGAAGAAAAACCTTAGAAAACGAATTAGCTATTCATAATAATATGCAAAAATACAATACTAGAATTCATAACCAATGATGGAAATAGGAATAAGGAAGTGAAAAACTCGTAGAAGAATTCTCCGCCTTGCTCCCAGTGTGTTCTTGACTCCTTAGGTCGAATCCCCGGTCTCCTTAGCCTCCTTAGGTCTAAATTATGTCAAAAGTGTGTCCAACCTCTTAAAATACCGTTTTTTCATGTATATATACCAAGTAGGGTCGGGCCCAAACTATTATACCTTCTCCTACACGAAAAAGGACAATTTTTTCACGTCTGGACAGCCGCGGCCGCGGTCAACCGCGGTACGAACGCGGTATTTGGCAAGTATACTGCCTCAGCCCGCCTCAGGTCCGCGGTCGCGGTTTCGACCGCGTTTTTCACCCTGTTCCCTTTGGAATTTGGAAAAACATAAAACATGAAAGTTGTATCCCTTTGAGTTAGCTTTCCAATCATATATTGTGGAGCCCAAATGGAGTTCTGAGCAAAAAGTTATGTGCATTTTACTAGACAGTGCGCAATATGCCTACTCGATTCTTCGTTTTGTTGCTCTATCATCTGTTGATCCCCGAATACGATCCCGGCTTAATTCCTTGGGCTTTTACTCAAGACTTCAAAGCTCCAAATAACTTGAATTCATTCCATAACATCTATATAGCTCGGAATCACTCCTACAAGGCATAAAACACACACTTAGTGCAAAATACTAGCGATTAAAGCGCAAACTCAACTAAAGTGCAGTAAATTAGAGTGTAATAATCGACTAAAATACGTAATTATAGTCTATCATCACTAAGCTTCTCAAGCCAGACTCGTCCAATTTGTCGACGCTTGCAGGCACATATGGCTATGTTGCACCTGGTAAGATCTAACTTTTGATCCCTTCTTTATAACTTCATGAACTATATATAGCCACCCACTCTATACTGTTTTTATCTCATGTCCTCATTTATATTGTTATACTTTTTTGGAAATTGTATTGTTCCAGAGCTTGCATATACAATGAAGGTTACAGAAATGTGTGATGTGTATAGCTTTGGAGTATTAGCATTGGAGATAATCAAAGGAAATCATCTTGGGGAATACATTACTCTGCTAGCAAATTCATCTACTGGAGATCATGTGCAGCTTAGCGATTTGCTGGATGAACGGCTTCCATATCCTGATGATAGAGTAAAAGAGGTTTTGGTTTTTATCATCAATCTAGCAAGCTCTTGTTTAGTTGAAACTCCGAAATCGAGGCCAACAATGCACTTCATCTCTCATAAGTTATCATCAATGGATTCACGCCCACGTACTCATGTAAGGCGAGCTATATAATCCCTGATATGTAAGGTATATTTTTTTGGAAATGAATAAGCTTCGACACCAAGTGGTTGTGAAGTAAATTTAATGAGAAGGTCCACAAAAAAATAATTACTGGGACTAGTATTCTAGTATTGTTAGGGTGCTTATCTGGTTTACTGTATTAGAGTGTATACAATATCATGTAGAAGGTAATTATGTAATTGTTAGGTTTTGTTATTATTTATTAATAACAAAAGAGGTGTGAATAGAAAATGGTGGGAAAAGAAATGGAGGGAAGTGAAATTTTGAATGAGTTCATTTTACTAATGCACTTTGTCCCTCATTGGTAGAAGGAAAGGAAATCTTTGTGTATATAAAGAGAAGCTCATCTTTTAGCTCTTAAAGAGTTAAGAAGATGGCAAGCCTCGCGCCGTCGTCGCTCGGCTTCGGTCAAAGATTGATTGATTAATATTTCTGGACAAAATCCTTTTCAAATATTTAATTAATTAATTAAATTAATTCAACCCGGAATAACCCATGACCCGCGATCCGGTCCGGGTTCGGCCCGTTTTCTTTCCCTGATAATCTTTTCTTCCGCACAAAAATTCCAGTGTGTTTTACAGCCTTCGAGTGGTTCGCTGTTCATCGGCGTTTTTGGTACCAACACTCCGGTGAGTTAAATCGTTCTATCCTGGGAGGATATATTCCAGAACCTCGGGTACTTGAGGGGAATAATTTCCTTAAGGACACACTGTGTATTCAGTGGGCTCGATTTGTTCCTATACCGTTTTCGAAATTTATTTTGAAGTTCAAATACCGTTTTCAGAAGTTTATTTCTACTAACTTTTTGTTTATGTTTTCTGAAAGATTATTGTTTTTATTTATTTACAGCAATACAGATTACTAACAATAATTTCTTGTGCCAAAAACTAATAAAAACAAGTTTCATGTGTTGGTACGATGTTATAGTAGGATTACTTTGCATAATTTTTATAGCTCATCAAAATCTCTAACCATGAATGCTTCTAAAATATGATCTTTGATTCCAATATGAGGTTAATGAGAAGTTGAAAAGCAAAGTGGGTGATGGGCCTGTTATATTCTTTTATTGCCTTCCAGTTGCCATTGATAAAAGTTAAGTCTCGTGTTGCAGCAGAAAAAGTTTCCTTCAATTTCATCTTGTATCAACGAGCCAAATTATGATCCGATGATGAAATCTATATATCCACCTACTCTACGCTGTTTTTATCTCATATTGTATTGTTTCAGAGCTTGTATGTGTTACAGAAATGTGTGATGTGTATAGCTTTGGAGTATTAGCATTGGAGATAATCAATACATTACTCTGCTAGCAAATTCATCGACTGGAGACCATATGCAGCTAGCAATTTGCTGGATGAACGCCCTCCGTATCCTGAAGATAGAGTAAAAGAGGTTTTGTTTTTATGATCAAGCTAGCAAGCTCTTGTTTGGTTGAAACTCCGAAACCAAGGCCAACAATGCACTTCATTCGTCAATGTATACAGTATAATGATATTTGTTTCTAAGAGAGACGATTATGTAACAAACCAACATCTCAATTCTCATTAAACATGTTTGCATAAAGCCTCTTTTTAAACAGATATCACATGAGATGCATTAAAAGCCTCTTTTTAAACAGATATCAGAGCTGGATATTTTTAGCAGAGGAATAGAAAATGTTAAATTAAGCCTTTACCGCTCTTACCTACCCTTCTCCTGCACTACTGATGTCTGCTGCGTACTAATTAAATACAGGCTAAAACTCACCACACATTCCTTCATCACTTCCATTTTTAACTATGTTTAAAACGTCAACATACTTGTAACTAGTTCATTAATTTATTGACCTAGGTGGCACATGTTCTGTTTCTTTACGCCATTAATTAGAAACTTCTTACTTTAGAGGATAACTTTGTGTTCATATATATGTGAAGCTACTCACTCTGTAGACTATATATAGGAAATATAATTAAACTCTGTAAAACATTGTTTTCGATCTCTTCAAGTAACTGAGAAGAAAAAATGGCAATTGGGGGCATTTCTGTTGAAGGACAAGATAGCGATAACGGGAAGATAACATTCGCCGTTGTCATCACTAGCATTGTTGCTGCATCAGGTGGCCTCATTTTCGGATTTGATATTGGAATTTCAGGTAAATGTGTTTTTCTTCTAATTTTATGGATTCCACTCCAACTTTTTCGTTAGGGGTCTGCACCTGATGATCAACAGTGTTTCTTATGAGAAATCCCTACAAAGAAGGGCTGATCCTCATTTGATTTAACTTATGCATACAGAGTATATATAAAATTTACACTATTATTGTATGCTGAAGTAATTTGTTTTTTTTTTTCCATCTTACTGATTTCACTTTTTATGGTCTCGTCATCTTTAACTTTTACATAGTACTAGTGTAACACTAAAAAAAAAAAAGGCAGCTCGGTGCACTAAGTTCCCGCTATATGCGGAGTTCAGGGAAGGGCCGGACCACATGGGTCTATTGTATGCAGTTTTACCCTGCATTTGTGCAAGAGGTTGTTTCCATGGCTCGAACCCGTAACCTCCTGGTCACATGGCAGCAATTTTAGTAACTCCATAAAGTCATACTAAAATAACTATTGGTTATCCATATTCAAGGAAAGAAAAGAGACATTTTATTTCAGGTAAACAAGTTTCCAGGAAATTATAGGAACAACTGTGTTGACATTGTGTCATTCCTTCGTGAACCAGAATACCAGCCTGATACATAAACTAAATAAAAAAAAATGAGAGAACAAAAAGAGAATTGACCATTTCCAATACGGACCCGTAATTTCTATGCTGTGTAAGCCATATATCTTCACAAATACTCAATCCCTTTTATTTGTACAAATCAGGAGGAGTGACAACAATGAGGCCATTCCTTGAAAAATTCTTCCCATCAATACTGAAGAAGGTAGCATCTGCTGGTGCTGAAACAAACGTGTATTGTGTATACGACAGCGAGGTTTTAACAGCGTTTACTTCATCACTCTACATTGCTGGCTTGGTTGCGTCTCTCGTAGCTGGTCGCCTCACGGCCGACATAGGACGAAGAAACATAATGGTAGTAGGAGGCTGCACTTTCTTTGCTGGTGCTGCTATGAATGGTGCTGCTCAAAATATTTCTATGCTCATTTTGGGCCGCATTTTGCTAGGCTGTGGTGTTGGCTTTACTAACCAGGTAGCCTCTTCCCCAGCCTACACTTTCTAGACACAATCCTGTCTTCCCATGAACTAAAATCAAGACTTATGTAGTAATTTAACTTTCTTTTTAATTATGTATTCCTTTGAAGGCTACTCCTGTATATCTCTCAGAAATGGCACCTTCAAAATGGCGAGGTGCATTCAGCACAGGCTTCCAATTCTTCATAGGCCTTGGTGTTGTTATTGCGAATTGCATAAACTATGCCACCTCTAAGCTCAGCTGGGGATGGCGCCTCTCCCTCGGCCTGGCTGTTGTTCCAGCCGCGACAATGACCATAGGTGCACTTCTCATTTATTTTTGTTCATTTTCTCTTTTACATATAATAGTGGCATCTGGACCAGCTTGTCCGCTCCTCAACTATTTCACTGCCTATATGCTATTTCCCATTAGTACAGGAACAGTGTATATCATGTACTAAGCGTTTTTTAATCTCTCCTGAGAATTGAACCATGATACTTCATAAAAAACAAGGGATCTACACAAATAGCCGGCCATATTCACTATTTTGTTTAGCCATATACATAGATTATACATTAATTATACACGATTATACATATATAATATATGAACTATGCATATATTATAACTCCACCGGCTATTTTTAGTTTAAGTGGTTGGGTGGGCTGCTATTTGAGTTAATTCTTCTACTCCCTCCGATTCACATTAAGTGTCTAATTTGCTTTTTCATTTTGGTTCAAAATAAGTGTCCAGTTATGTAATCAAGAAAGAATTCAATTTGTTTTTACAAAATAACCCCTATGTACATATCCCTAAAATATTTTCTTACTCCTCACATTAAATGTTTAATTAGGGGTAATTTAGTCATAGTAGGTATTTTTGTATAGAATTTAGTATTTTCTTAATGGGCGTGCTAAAAGCAAATTGGACACTTATTGTGAACCAGAGGGAGTATTTATTACACTTTATTGACACTAAGTCACACTTTTGGGTGCAGGTGCACTTATCATTTCAGACACACCTAGCAGCCTAGTTGAGCGTGGAAAATTGGAGCAGGCAAAACAATCTCTAGCAAAAGTTCGAGGAACCAATAACAACACTGAAATTGAAGCTGAGTTAGCTGATCTTATTAAATCTAGTGAAATTGCAAGAGCTTCAAAGGAAGAGCCTTTTGTAACAATCTTTAAGAGACAACATCGGCCTCATTTGGTCATGTCCATTGCCATACCATTTTTCCAGCAAATGACTGGGATTAATATCATTGCATTCTATGCCCCTGTCCTTTTTCGATCTGTTGGTTTTGGGAATAACTCGGCTCTACTTGGTGCTGTTATACTTGGATTAGTCAATCTTGGTTCAATCCTTGTCTCTACTGGTATTGTTGATCGCTTTGGTCGGAGATTTCTCTTCATACTGGGTGGAGTACAAATGCTCTTTTGCCAGGTGCGTGCTTAACTAATAGTAGCCAATTGAGACAACGCATTATGCACCCTAATATCCAAGATAAAACTCAAGCAATAATTAGTTGATGAGTTAATATGTTTTGTGCATGGATAGTGTATAAATTGTTTACATCATCAGGTTAAATTGGCTTACAACAATATGTAATTTTTCATAACAAGTCAGATAAGGTAACCTGAAAAATAGAGTAATAACCTACTATAACCAGTTAAATTGCAATAATAGCGTAAAATTCTTGATATTGTCAGTGTATATAAGTTAAATTCTTAGAGAGTCTTAAATTCTATAAGCTGAGGATGTATTGTTTTGTTGCACTCTCAAGTTAAGTTGACATGTAATAACATATAAGTGCGAGCTTTTAACAAATTATATGGTAACCAATCAAGAAAATAGAGTTAATATAAAATTATACTTGTATCAGAAAAATATTTGTACTGCCAGTGTGTATAACTTAGATGATCCTTATGCTAATTACGCGATTGGCTTAATGTTGATGAAGGTAGCAATTGCTTCTACACTTGCAGCTTCAATAGGTGAAAATGGAAGCAAACACATTAGCAAGCAATATGCTGCCTTAGTACTTGCCCTGATGTGCATCTATGCTGCTGGTTTTGGTTGGTCATGGGGTCCTCTAAGTTGGCTCATTCCAAGCGAAATATTTCCGATGAACATTCGATCGACGGGGCAGAGCATAAGTGTGGCTATGAACTTTGCAACCACATTTGTGTTGTCTCAAACATTTTTGGCAATGCTTTGTCACTTCAAGTATGGGGCTTTCTTGTTCTTTTCTGGTTGGATTGCTGTTATGACCATTTTTATTGTGATGTTTATGCCAGAGACCAAAGGTGTTGCTTTGAATTCCATGCATCAAGTGTGGGAGCGGCACTGGTTTTGGGGTAGATATGTTAAAGATCAGAGCTAGTGCCGCAACAGAGTGAGCAAAGAAGTTGAATGGAATATACAAAAGTTTTATACTGTTAGATGCTCCTGTGATCTAGAAAGAGGAATTTTATCATAAGTGGATCATGATAAAGATATAATTAAGTAAATAAAAGTATTTTTTCTCTAACAGATATAACTTTATATTTGCAATAAGATTAACTCAGAATTTTAAGTTAGCGTTTGCTAAATATTATTCACTTACTATTTCTTTTTATAACCAGTGTACCCAATTTTTGAAAATGTTCGCGACCATGCTTGATAAATGTATTATAAGGAAAGTAATACATTTATTATAACAAAAAATACATTTATTATATGTATTCCATTGATTTTACTCAATATGGATTTAGGTTATTCATATACAAAGTGCAAGAACAGACTTAGTGCAGAAATATTAAAAGGCATCGAAGATTTGTAACCTCTTTTTTTTTTTTTTTTGGCTTGATGGTCATTTCGAAGAAATGAAAGAGTGAATACTGAACCCCTTTGATGTTTCGAATTATCCAGGTTTTGGGGTAGATATGTTAAAGATCAGCCCTAGTCCCACAACGGAGAGAGAGCAAAGAAGTTGAATGGATTGTACAAAGTTTTATACTGTTAGTTCTTTCTATGATCCAGAAATTTATCATAAGTGGATCATGATAAACACATAATTAATTAATTAAAAGTATTTTCTCTAACAGATAAAACTTTATATTTGCAATAAGATTAATTCAGAATTTTATGTTAGCTAGTGTTTGCCAAGTATTATTCACTCACTATTTCTTTTTATAACCGGTGTACCTGCTTTTTAACATGTTCGCGGTCATCTCTTGATAATAATTGTATTACAAGGAAAGTAGTATTCCATTAATTTTACTCGATAGCATTTAGGTCATTCATATACTTTATATTAGCAATAAGATTAATTCTTTGTTATTACAAAGTGTAAGAACAGACTTTGTGCAAAAATATTTAAAGGCATCCAAGATTTGCAATATATTGAACCCTTTTGTTGTTGTGAATTATCAATTTGTTTCATCTGCTTCAACTGGTGTGTATATTTCCTTTGAATTTCCTCAACCGGTATTTGCTAAAACATTTATGCCAAATCCACCAAAATTTTGTACTGGATTGAATAGCTCTGTAAAGGGAAAATGTATTCTTCCTACCTTATTGTCATGTTGTAACCATGAAAACCTATGTTAAGTATCTCAAATCTAAGGCCTACAGGACCCTGTAAAAGCAAAGATCACAAGTTCAGTACATCCAAATTGAAACAATATGCTAATTATAATAGATCACAACACCCAATGAAACACATAAAAAGAAAAAGAAAAAAAAAAAAAAAAAGATAAGCACGCGCTACTATTGAACAAGCAATACAAGTTCCAATTACATACCTTGTTAAATAATTGAAATTTAACCATTTTTCTAATTGGTTGGATATAAATACCCCAGCTTAAAAGGTGGCAGATACACGCTTCTTAATCTTTTTTTTCTTTCATTTTTTGAAGTTTTAACTCCAGCATAATATGTTGAAATTCACCTGCCAAGGGTTTTAAACTCCAGCACAATAGTTCTAAAATCCAGCATATTATGCTGAATCTTTGTTGTATTTTTAGATAAAGTTATTTTTGTCATATTCTATTTGCGCATTAAAAGTAGCTATTATTTAATTACTTTACAAACACTTACTCCCTCCGTTTCAATTTATGTGAACCTATTTCCTTTTTAATCCGTGCCAAAAAAGAATGACCTCTTTCCCTATTTGGAAACAATTTACCTTTATGCAATGATTTATAGCCACACAAAATATATGTGCTTCATTTTACACCACAAGTTCAAAAGTCTTCTCTCTTTTCTTAAACTCTGTGCCCAGTCAAATGAGTTCACATAAATTGAAACGGAGAGAATATTATTTTTTAATTATCAATCCGAAAATAGCTAACTAGCCTACTTTTACCACCAGATCAACCCTTGGTGGTTATCTAAGAACTCTAATCAGCAACAAAAAAAAAAAAAAACAAATCTTCACAGCTCTGACGAAAAAACAATTAACTTCAATTCAAAGTTCAGAATTTCGTAGAATTGCTTTGTAAAGAACACAATTTATACTTGGTTACAAATTCATTGGGTTTGAAGAAAATTGGATAAGTCGATCAAGCAAAGAAAAGAAAGGAACGAAATCAAACGAAATGCAAGAATTCACTACGATTTACCGAAAAGATAAATTTATATAGCATGTAAAGTTCTTAGTTATTTTTAGATCCAGACAAATTCTTTTTTATTTATTTATGAAGAGGAAGATTTTATGATTACTACGTAGGATTATTACACGGTAGGTACAACATGACTATCTAAAACACTATAAAGCTCCCAAACATGACCGAATTATTGAAGTAGTAATAAACTTAGCAATAGTAACTCCATTCTTGTCTAAGAGCCAAGTCATTCATATAAAGTGCAAGAAAAGAATTAATTTGTCCATAGTTGGAACTAAGAAGATTAATGACTTTTTTTAATTTCTTCATTTCATTCCAGAGGCGGTTAGAGGGTGAAGCCACTAAAGCAGAGGCTTTAGGCCACAAAATTTTGGGTGCCCCAATTTTTTTTCTTCCTACTTGATGTCTTATATTTAGTTTTGGGCATTGATTAATTTTCTTTTTCATTCCAAATACTCAAATCGAATACCTTCGGCTAGAAAAAAAAGAGATCATATCCATCCCACCACGATTCTTCTGGTGAGACTCTAAATCTTTTTAAGAAAATATTAAGCATTTCAAAGCAGAACGGTTAAATATTTTGTATATAAAAATTAGATCACATTTATCATTAAAAATGAGTAATACACTTTTAAACTCTATTTTTTATTTGTTTTTTTATTTTTTTTCCAGGTTTTCATCGTTGCAACAAGCATATTGAAACATCAAAAAATTATTTAATATAAAATTATCGACTTCTTGAATCAAGTTTATTACCTAAGATCAATAGTGTCACAGGAGAGATTAAATGGTTTATGTAAAAAACTATTAAATTTTTTACTCTAAAAAAGCTAGAAAACTCTACTTCAAGTAAAAATATATAAAAAATTTTTTAGAAAAATAAAGTCTCCAGTAAAGTTTGACTTTAGGCCACCAAACTTGTTGAGCCGTCACAATTTCACTCATCCTATGGTCGTTCTTATTTTCACAACCTCACTAGTTACACTAGCTGTGACCTTCGAGAAAAGTTAAAAAAAATACATGAATTCATGAGTCTTCATATAGTCAATCAAAGCTAACTGCAGCCATCAACAAGTGGTGACAGTCAACTATTTAAAGAGCCCAATTAAGAAGAAGAGTAAGCTCTCTCATAACTCTCTACAAATAAAATTAAAGGAGACCATATAATAATAATAATAACCTCTGATGAGAATCAAATGCAAAATTGCCCATTTGACCGCTTATCTGGGCTTTCAAAACCCCAATAAATGACATAGTCCCACAAAAATAATATATTACAACTTACAATCAATTCGGTACTCATAAATATAAAGATCAGCTAAGTTTCAGAATGTGGACCTTTAATTGGGCATCAAATTTAATTGCACAATATCTATGGCATGTTGTATATGGTCATGTCTTTTTATAAGGATGCATTTCATAATGTCTCGACTAAAAAACTGTTCCGTGTAATATATATTAGAAATACCCGTACTCGAAAAATTTCTCAGGATTAAAGATGTTTCTTCTTCCGATCCCCATCACCCTTTTATAAGTTTGTTGAATAAAACATAAGTTGACACAGACGCGGATCTAGGATTTGATGGCTATCAATGTCACTATTTTAATGGAAACCAACAACTAGTAAAGGAGATCTAATTAGGGTGTAAATTCAATGGAGTCGATCCGTTTTTAGATTAATTCGGTCGATTCGATCCATTTTGAATTAATTCAATTCAATTTAAAAGATCTCTTTATGCATAAATGAATATGTGATACGCCTCGTCAACGTACATGTGGCTGATAAATATTGCGTCTTTGATGCATCACTCTATTTTTTATTTTATTTTTTGAAATTACTCCCTCCGTTTCATATTAAATGAGGTACTTTCCTTTTTAGTCTGTTCCAAAATAAATGACACATTTCTAAATTTGGAAATAATTCAACTTTAAACTCTTCATTTTTACCCTTTTTGCCCTTAATGAGAAGTTTTTATAGCCACAAATGGCATGGCCCCACAAACCTTTTACCCCTTAAGCTTTTAAGACCATAACTTTCAAAAGTCTTCTTCTTTTTTCTTAAACTCCGTACCGAGTCAAACTACCTCAAACAATATGAAACGGAGAAAGTAATAAAATATCATTAGATGGATAAAAAGAGAAAATAATTGAACTTACAACCAAATAAAATTTGAAGATCCAGAAAAGTCAAAGGAAGCAAATATATAATTTAAAAATAAATAATAAAATGGCATTGTATTAAAAAAAGTGAATAACAAAGATGAAGGAAACAAAATAAAGTAAGAGAAGGAGCATAGAGAAAAGAAAGGGAAGAGAAAAAGGTAAAACCACAATCCAGAGAGCCTCGAGGCTATGTTCTGCACGTGGGATTTCAGCGCTTCAGCTATTGCAAGTAGGGGCGTATATATATGTGGGGTTGGTTCGGATTTTGCAATTACCAAACCAAGTTAATTGTGTCGGGTTATTAAATTTAAAGGCCAAATCAAACCAATAAAACTCGGGTTTTTCAATTTCGGTTTTTCTCGGGTTTTTGGGTTACTCGGGTTTTTTCCCGGTAAAATCTTCGTAGCACAAAACATATAACTTGTGCTCAAAATATTTCTTTTAATCTTAGTAAGATACAACTATATAAGGTATTTTTCAAAAAATAATACAAAATATGAGATTCGTCATGGCATTATCCTAAAATATTCAACAATAAAGACAATAAAATTATGTAATATAAATATTGCTAATTAAAAAACCATAATAAAAATAAACATAATTTGAAAGTACTAAGTCATGCTGAAATAACCAGATAATAAGGGAGTATTAATTACATGACCAAACGATAAAGAAAAATAAAAATAGGTTATGCATTTTTATCTAAATTATTGCAGAAACAAAAAATAGATATTCAATACGCTCCCGTTCGTAATATTGAATTTAATATTTTTTATTAGCATTAGTATTGATTTGGTTTTGGTTTGGACTTTTGTTAACATTATTTAAG